AAAAATAAGGAATAAGATACAAAACAGACAAAAAAGAAGCATATGATCCAAGCACTAATAAATTTTGTCTTGCCCTAATTACATTTTATCTTAGCCAAAATTCACAAAAGTGAGGGGCGCCTGGGTGGCTCAATCAGTTAAACATCTGCGTTAGGCTTAGGTCATGATCCCAGAGTCCTGGGATCACGCCCAGTGTCAGGCTGCCTACTCAGTGGAGAGCCTGCTTTTCCTCTGCCACTCTCCTTGCTTGTGCTCTCTTTCTCTCTCTAATAAATAAATAAAATCTTTAAAAAAACATTCACAAAAGTGAAATGGTTTATTACAGATTGTAAAAAGAGATTGTGTCTAAGCTGAAAAAAATAACCCATGATTCAACTCCCCTCATAGAGAAATCAGCAGTGAGATTGATGGTCCTTTGGCTATCAGTGTTCCTGACAATAGATGTAGCGTCTCTGAGTTCTGGTTAAGTGCCAATAGCTAGTGGGAAATTCTATTTCAGAAAACATGCTATGTGTATGAATATTATTTGAAATTATGAAATCCATAAACTACATTTTTCTAAAAGATTTAGTCAGTGTTGGGAGGCAGGGTACAGGTAAAAGAAGACAGAAGTCAGTTACTTTGAAGGAAAAGAGGAAGGATGTAATAATCAGAGCACCAGCTCTGAAAAAGAAAGAAGGCCATCTCACCTTTATTTCTTTTGACTTTTACGTCCTCCCCTTTTTTTCCCTAGCTTTATTGAGATATAATTGACACATAACTGTATGTAAGTTTAAGGTGTACAGTGTGTTTATTTATACTTTTATAAACTGTAAAATGATTACCATCATAGTATTAGGTACCATCTGCACCCTACCACATAGTTATTAATTTTTTGTGTGTGGTGAGGATTTTTTCTTTTTTTAAAGATTTATTTATTTGCGAGAGAGAGAGAGCGCGAGAGTGTGCGCGCGCACACATGTGTGCCCGCGAGTGGGGGTGGGGGGAGAGAATCTCAAGCAGACCTGTGCCCCCCACCGCCCCGTTCCGCTGAGCACAGAGCCCAGCGCAGGCTCGATCTCATGACCCTGAGATCACGACCCAAGCCGAAATCAAGAGTCAGATGCCCAACTGACTTAGGTGACCAGTGACCAGCTACTCAGGTGCCCCTGTGATGAGAACTTTTAAGGTCCATTTTCTTTGCAATATTCAAGTATATAATACAGTATATATACCGTATATAACTATAACCACCATGCTGTACATTAGATCCCCAAGCTTATTAATCTTATAACTGGAAGTTTGTACCCATTGACCAGTATCTTACCATGTTCCCCACCTCTTAACCTCTGGCAACCACCATTCTGCTGTTTCTCTGAGTTTGTCTTTTTTAAATTCCACATATAAGTGAGATCATACAGTGTTTGTCTTTCTCTGACTTAACTTCACTTAGCATAGTGCCTTCAAGGTCCATCCAAGTTATTACAAATGACAGGATTTCCTTCTTTCTCATAGCTGAATAATAATCTCTTGTGTATATAAACCACATCTTTTTTATCCATTCATTCATTGACAGACACTTAAGGTTATTTCCATATTTTGGCTGTTGTAATGCTATAATGAACATTGCAGATAACTACAAGATCCTGATTTTCAGTTTCTTTGAGTATCTACCCAGAAGTGGAATTGCTGGATCATATGGTAGTCCTATTTTTCATTTATTGAGGAACCTCCATACTGTTGTCCATAGGGGCTGTACCAGCTTACATTCCCACCAGAAGTTCATTAGGGTTCCCTTTCTCCACACCTTCACCAACACTTAACTCTTCTCTTTTTGATGATAGCCATTATAACTGGTGTGAAGGGATAGCCTGTGGTTTTGATTTGCATTTCCCTAATGACTAGTAATGTTGAGCACCTTTTCATCTACCTATTGGACATTTGCATGTCTTTTTTGGAAAACTGTGTCTTCAGTTCTGCCCATTTTTAAATCAGGTTGTTAGTTTTTTTGCTGTTGTATGAGTTCTTTACATATTTGGAAATTAACCCTTTGTCGGACACATGATTTGCATTTTCTCCCATTCTGTAGGGAGAAATATTGCCTTTTCGTTTTATTGATTTACTGTGCAGAAGCTTTTTACTTTGATGTAGTCCCACTTCTATAGATTTTACTTTTGTTGTTTGTGCTTTTGCTGTCATATCTAGGAAATCACTGCTGAGAGGATCAGTGTCAAGGAGCTTTTCCCCTGTTTTCTTGTAGTTTTGTGGTTTCAGGCCTTACACTTAAATCTAATCCATCTCAAGTTCGTTTTTGTGAGCGGTGTAAGATAGAGGTCCAATTTCATTCTTCCGCATGTGGTTATCCAGTTTTCCCAACACCATATATAGAAGAGACCATCCTTTCCCCATCAAGTATGCTTGGCTCTCTTCTCAAACTGGGATTTATTTCTGGGTGTTCCATTGGTCTATGTGTCTGTTTTTATGCCAGTGCCATATACTATGTTGATTACTATAGCTTTGTGATATAGTTTGAAATTGGGAAATATGATGCCTCTGGCTTTGTTGTTCTTTCTCAGAATTGCCTTAGCTATTCAGGGTCTTTCGTGGCTCCATGCAAATTTTAAGATTTTTTTCTATTTCTGTGAAAATGCCATTGGAATTTTGATAGAAATTGCATTGAATCTATAGATGGTTTTGGGTAATATGGACATTTCAATAATATTAATTCTTCCGATTCACAAATATGGATATCTTTCCATTTGTTTGTATCTTCTTCAATTTCTTTTATCGAGGTCTTGTAGTTTTCAGTGTGTTGATCTTTCACTTCCTTGATTACATTTATGCCTAAGTATTTTATTTTTTTGATGCTAGTGTGAATGGGATTGTTTACTTTTTCAGATGTTTTGTTGTTAATGTATAGAAACAACTGCTTTCTATGTGTTAATTTTTGTATCCTGCAATTTTACTGAGTTATTGTTTAGTTCTGGTGGCATTTCAGTGGAGTCTAATCTAGGATTTTCTACATGTAAAATCATATCATCAAACAAAGATAGTTTTATTCCTTTATTATTTGGATGCCTTTTATTTCTTTCTCTTACATGATTACTCTGGCTAGGACTTCTAGTACTTTGTTGAATAGGAGTGGTGAGAGTGGGCATCCTTGTGTTCCAAATCTGAGAGGAAAACTTTTCAAACTTTCACCTTTGCGAATGATGTTGACTATGGGTTTGTTGTATATGGTCTTTCTTGTACTGAGGTATGTTACTTCTATAACCTAGTCTGTTGAGTGTTTTTATCATGAAAGGGTATTACACTTTGTCAAATGCTTTTTCTACATCTGTTGAGATCACATGAATTTTATCTTTCATTCTGTTCATGTGGTGTATTACATTTATTGATTTGTGTATATTGAAACATCCTTGTTATTCCAGGGATAAATCCCACTTTGTTGTGGTGAATGATTGTTTTAATGTGCTGTTGAACTGGGTTTTCTAGTATTTTGTTGAGAATTTTTGCATCTATGTTCATCAGGGATATTGGTCTGTAATTTTCTTTTCTTGTCATATCCTTATCTGGCTGTGTATCAGGGTAATGCTGGCCTTGTAAAATAAGTTTGGGAGTATTCCCTCCTGTTTAATATTTTGGAAGAGATTGAGAAGGATTGCTGTTAATTCTTCTTTAAATGTTTGGTGGAATTCACCAGTGAAGCCATCTGGTCCTGGACTTTTCTGTTTGGGGATAGTTTTGATTACTGATTCACTCTCCTCACTCAGTATTGGTCTATTCAGATTTTCTCTGTCTTCATGATTCAGTCTTGGTATGTTAAATGTTTTTAGGACTCTGTTCATTCTTCTAGGTTATCCAGCTTGTTGGTGTATAATTATACGTAGTAGCTTCTCGTGATCCTTTGTATTTCTGTGGTACCAGTTGTAACGTCTCTTCTTTCATTTCTGATTTTGCTTATTTGGGTCTTCTGAATTAGTATAGTAAAGGCTTGTCAATTTTGTTTATCTTTTCAAAAAGCCAGACTTTAGTTTTCATTGACCTTTTTTATTGGTTTTCTGGTTGGGTTCTCTTATTTAAACTTTGAGAACAGGAAAGTTCATTTGTCAAAGGAGTGGAGTACCTTCTGCAAATGAAAAGGATAAATGGGATTACTCCGTTTCAACAGTTTCTATAATAGGGTCTATCCTTTAATTTTCAAAAGCCTTGGCTCTTTAAAGTGGGAGTAAGGAAAGAGCCAAGAAAAAATTACTTTTGTGACTGACTCCCACTATTGGTGTCATGGGAAAAGCCAAGATCATTGTTTTTCAAACTTGGGACCACACCTGCAAAAGAAAATACATGTTACATTAGGATTCAATAAACACATGTAGACACAACTAAAAGCTGTAAGGACCAATACTTTGATTATGCCACTGTGCGCTTTAATGCATTTTATTCTGCTTCATTCTATTCACAGTCCATTGCAGGACTGTTTGGTTTGGTTTTGTATTGTTTTTTAATGCTGATCCTGACCCACCAAGGGGTCATAAGGCTGGTTTGTGAATGGTTGCGGGAGAAGGGAGCAGCAGAGGGGGTCCAGTCAGAGCCAGTGCTCAATGCTCCCCTACCCGCTGCAGCCTTCATGCCTCCACCCTGCGCTTGTGTTCATTCTTGGTTTCCCCAGAAATGGTAGCAGCTTTCCATGTGACCACATCTTTGTTCTGCACACACTGCCACTTTGTTCACTGGCCCTGCCATGCAAGCTTCACATCTTTGCTCTGGGCGCTGATTGGGTGATAGCTCAATGGCCTTCACATATCCCAAAGAAACCCCCTCCCCCTTCGGGCAAAGGGGAGAAGAGGACTGAAATCAAAGTTTATAGGGAGGGTTTGGCCACCCGGGACAAGAACCCTGGGCATTGGTGACAGCGCCCTGTGGCTAGAGGAGATAGACAGGAGTGTGCTAAGACCAAGGAGTCAGGTTCAGAATTAAGAGTCTCGCTCACTTCCTTTTCCCCGGCCTCTTGCTGCCTACAGGTAAATTCTACTGCAAACCACACTACTGTTATCGACTCTCCGGCTCTGCACAGAGGAAGAGACCAGCAGTGGCTCCTCTCTCTGGAAAGGTAATGATGATCCATCTGTAAGTGGGGGAGAAGCAGCAGGTGCATTTTAGTGTGGTGACAGGTGAGGTGCGGTTGGCCAGGCCTGCTAAATGGCCACTAAATTGCCTTTCTTGTGAATGGGAAGGGCCTGAGAGACAGTCACAGTCCATTTGGGGAGGAAACCAACTTTTCGAGTATAATCTTGATATTGCATTTCACTAAGGTAATGTTCCATCCACCACCTGAGTCAGATTTGAGAGATTATGTTAGACCCTTCTGTTTATATAAAAGAAGACTTTAGTCATTGTAAATAAGCATCTTTCTGAGAAAAGGACACCCTGCAAAGGAACATGGCTATAAATAATCTGCTCTGCTTGTCAATTCCTTTAACTTTCTTTATTCTGTGAATTACTTATCTAAGTACCTTTTTTCCTTCTTACTTTTTTTTTTTAATGAGAGTAGCTCCTCCACTTGTCTTTGTGAAGGTGAACCGGGTATTCCCTTCACTACAGGATGTTACCTTGTCAGCTTGCAAGCTTACTAACCCGTCCTGGAGAGGCTTTTGTTGACTGCAGAGGGACTTGCAGGGAAAGGAAACTTATTCCAAGGTGGACCTAGATTTTGACTCCTGGCAATTTCCCCATGAAGTCTGTCCTGGATTTTTAAAGAAAGACTGACTGTGTGAAAAATACAGTCTGGATTGACTGGCGAGAGCAGCGAACTAGCCAGGCAGGGGCCATTGCCTTCTGAGATTTTAGTGCTTCAGTCAGTCACTCTTCTTCTTCTTGTGGACTTTCCTAGGAGGCCAGAGAAGCCCTGCAGGATGGCCCGACTGTGGACGCAAATGGACGGGCCAGTGCCATGGCCAGCCCTGCTGAGAGAACCCCAGGTAGCCTCACTTCCTTGTTTGGCTGGGTGGTGCGTCACTCTCTCGGCCTCTGTGACAAGGCCAAGGGGATGAGCCAGCACCTCCAAAGCAACATTTCTTCGATTGGGCATCAAGTGGCCCAAAACCCTTTGGACTCCTTTTTCATGTGCCAGCTGCTTGCGTTCGGAGTCCCCTTTCTCTATGGCCTGTCGGAGGTGCTGGTACAAATCCGAGGGGAGTTGCGCTGGCAGACCGTGAGCCAGTAGGGGCGCCATCTGGTGAGCTTCAGTAATGTCCATTCCCAATCTCAAAGTATTGTTGCTGGGGCCCGGGAGCCTGCCCGCACCCATAAGACATACTGGGGTGGTCGGTCCAGGCCCCATCCATGTAGACAGGAATTCAGAACAGGCTGCTTGCCAGAGTCCCAGGGCCTCCTTGTTTTGGACTCCTTGGACAACATGGAATTGTAATAAGGCCCCATGATCTGGATTTGTGTTCACCTACACTTGAAATTCTTGCATCCCACTCCCTATTTAGGTATCTACATAAGCTAACACTGCACTTCCGTTTGACGTGTAACCACTATAGGTCATGCCCTGTCCTAATCACTTTGGGGCATTTGAACTTCTAATGAGGACCAAACCCTAATTTGTTTCATTTCCACTAATCATTTCCTTGTATCAGGAAGTGAATGACACTATCCCTACCTCTGAAAACACATTTATTCTGGTGTTTAACTCATGGGCTCATGGACATTAGATTTGTTGTGAAGAATTGTAGTTTTTTTTCCTTAAAATTGCCTCTCTCTGCTCCGTGTCAAGCCAGCCTGTAAGATATGTCCCCAGTTCCACAAACTGCTGGGTGGTCCCAATACCCCCAGGGCAGCCACAGACTATATTACAACCCAGGGTCATTGTGTAGGTGAGAGAGGAAGTCAACAGGCCATGTTTCTGCTTCTCACACTTTTTCTGTCTTTCACAGCAGATAGATCTCAAGCAACCATTTAGAAACTCATGAAAATTACCATATAAAAACTAGAGGTTATCAGCTAATGCTAGAAACTGTGGAGGAGTTGGTAGTGAAATTTCCATAATGGGAAAAGAGAAGAATTATCCACTCTACTTTCAAATGAGAGGTTTTCAGAGTTGCTTCTTTCCCTGTGCTTAAGAATTAGAGAAAGGGAGAATGTGCCCCAAGAGGGCAGCGATTTGGAGGCTAAGGCCCAGCAAACCCCAGCTGAGCTAGGTGAATTCAGCTTCTGCTCCTATGTGTGCCCACATTAAAATCCAGGGAAGCTTTTTAAGTGCCCTGTGAATTGAACCAACATTTTATAGCAATGTTTATGCCACGAATGACTTTGAAACCTATAGCTTCGAAACCCTTTATAATCTGTCTTTCCCATGAAATGCTGGCAGCCTTTTGCAGTTGACACTCTCAGAGCACAAGGGGAATGTGCTGGTAGCGAAAAATCACCAAAGGGATCTAGACAGAGACTTAGGCTCTGGGGTCTAGAATGTTCATTTGACCAGGTGAGAGCACACCCTCATCAGTCTGGGTCTTGTTCCAGCAGAGATGGATTTCCCAAGGAACTTGGCCACTCAGTAAAACAACTCAGAGAAATGAAACTTTCTTTTTCAGTATCAAGTACAGAACATTCTTTTTAAAAATTTAAACACAATGAAGTTCAGGTCGTTTCTGAGCAAGCCAAGTTTTGTTCACTTTCCCCTGTGGCTCAGTTTGCCGTTCTTACTGTCTAGTTTGAAGGCATAATGGATTTAAAGTATCCGTAGAGAAGGAGAGGAATATTCTACAAAGCAAGGATAGAAGATAAGCGTTTGATAATGTAGTTAAAGACTCAACCAAGAAAGAATCAAATCCCTGAGGACGTCTCAGCGCCTATGGTTCATGATTCTGAAGGTGACTTGCCTATTCTAGCACAAGGGATTCAAGATGTGCATCCCAGTGGGATCCCTGTTGAATCCCTAACATTAATGAGGCAGGCACTGTCCCCCCACTTTAATGCAGCTTAGGGCTAATGGGTTCAATTAGTATCTGCTTCTGGGGACTTGGGCTTTTGGAAATGACAGCCCTGAGTCTGAACATGCGCCAAAGCCCCAGCACTTCCCCTACGAGGTGTCTAATTCTTCCTAGCCTCTACAGAAAAGGAACAGAATCATGGGTGGTATTTTATAGTTGGCATGAAGTAGATTTCTTTTTTTCTTTTGATAGAGATGTCTTTCTTTAAATCTCAAACTAAAGCTTTGATTAGTTAACTGGAATTTCCTTTTGAAAAGCTTCAGAAAACTCAGGTATTTCAGGGTCCCAGAAACGTGTCCTCGATAACAGTCATTAACCCAGATCCATGGTACATCTCCTCTCCTGCACTCTAGACAAGAAAAAGCTGTAAATGAATGAACTTGGTTTCACTGTGTATAAATAAGCCATCCTCCTAGACCCATATCCCCCAGAAGGCAGAGCTGGAAAAACTATGGCTGTAGCTGGCACTTAACCCTGCTGTGTGTTTGCTCTGGGCCACCTCTGTGTTTGTGGCAGTGCCCTCTTTTCCCTTATGTGCTTTCCCCCTTATGCCAAAATTACTGCTGTTGCCAAAAAAACCAAACAACTCACAAGTTGAAAGAACCTACTCCAGGCCTGCTTTGCAGTGTTGTCTCTCTCTGGTGACCTAATCTGTAACTGCTGCTAATTTAGTGTTTGGAGGCAGACACTGTTTACAGTACTGTTGTTTATCATGTGCTTTTAATATAGAAACCCTCTTTTCTGTTCCCAAAATCTGTAAATGCTGTTTCCAAGCTTCGTATACTTACTGCTGTAGATTAGTGGACCTGGCACAGATTTTCTACCCTGGCCTCCTAGTACCTGCCCTGACTTTAAGAAAAGTTGGGACACAGGTAGAGAAAGAAAAACCCCAAATGAGATATTTTGTCCTTGGACATAAGACCCTCAATTGCAGGTTTTTTGGATCCTTTCTTTGTTTAGAAGAATCCCCTTTACATTTCATATAGAGGATAATAAAAAATGAAGCATAAAGGTTATGGGGAATCATAAGGGAAGAGAAGAAAAAGCTTTTCTTGTAATACTGGCAACAGAGATGGGATGGAAAAGACAGTCTTAACTTTAAAAGCCACATAGCAGTTAACAAGAGGCAAATGCCTGCTCCCTATCCCTAGACAACCCTTGCATGATCACCATTAGGTTCTATAGTTTGGGTGCTAAATGGGCCAGAATAGCCATGCGATACAAGGAATTCCGTGCAATCCTGGGGTTCCTGCCTGTCAGGACAAAGTTAGGAAATCTCACTGCTTCCCAAGCCCTCTTCCCTTATAGGCATTTCTGGAAAACCTCTTAGTAGAGCAAAGAGAATTGTGCAGTCCAGCTTAACTCCCCAGCCCTCCCCCAAGAGTCGTAGTTTAAAAAAAAAGGATTTGATGGTGATGTGTAAATATTTATACAAAAACACATGTATATTTATATAGGTGTGTAATTTCATATATACAAGTAGATACTTATCTATCGTGTCCTAAATAATTATAACCATAATAATGAAGCTGTTTCTGAAGCTTCTTGTTCCTTGGTTCTGGAAACCAAGGGAGCTTTTCCAGTGGGGAACCGTGTCACTGGGCTGGCTTAGAGTTCTGGTCAGGGTTTGGAGGGAACAGAGCAAGCCAGCACAGGTGTGGACGTGGAGACTTTGGGGGCGGGGGCTGGGTATCTCAGAAAATGAGCAGTACACGGCCCCAACCTCAGAAAGTACATTGATTCATGAGCAGACTAGGAAAGCAGGGGTTCTGTTGCTCACGGACTACCACAGAGAAGCAGACCCCCCACCCCCACCCCCCTTCCCTCTGTTTTGCTTCCAGGTGTGTGTATCACTGGGTTAGGTACTACAGCTTCCTTCTGTCTCTTGGTGTTTGGTGTGTCTCTGTAGGGCAGTGGACCGTTCTTTGTCCCCCTTAAATGGGCCTCAGCATGGCCTTGAAGGCCTGACCAGCGGATTAAGGGGTTCCCTTTTTCCTGGGCCATTCAGCTTGGGGTGGAGGTCAGGGTAGAGGTTGGGGGGCGTGGCAGCCAGCCAGGTTCCCACGGCCATGGTACAAAGACACCATAGCAAGGGAGGACGCGCTGTGCCAAGGAACGCATCACCTGTCCGCTTCTGGCCTTCCCTAAAGCCTTTACTTTTGCCCTTGTTTTTAATCTGTGCTGTGAGTTTTTGGTGTGTTTCTTTGTGAGTTTTTTAATTTAATTGTGTAACTTTGTTTTTGCCGTTACTGTGAAACTAAGGTGTTATGCTTTTAATTTTTTTTAACAAATGTTACCGTTCTTATTTAAGAGAATAAATTCCAAACAATCTTCAGGTTTCTGAGTTTTTCTTTTCCTTCCCTTTTTCCTGTTTGGAGGGTGGGAAAGGGGTTAGCATAGGCAGGTCTCAAGAGTGGGCCTGAAAGCCATTGTGCCTGAGGACTGTCACTTCTGAGGTGGGGTCAGGAGAGAGTGTGGATATATTAAAATGGGTAAATGGGGTGTTTATACCTAAGATACAGATTGTCGTTAACAGAAAGGCCTCTGTTCACGGGGATTGGCGTGGTGGAAGACATTTTGTTCTGCAGCAGCTACAGGTAGAAAAGAGTGAAAAGGTGCCCCCTGTGCCCCACATCCAGTCAGCCAGTATGAGGGACTTGCGGGCTAGAGCAGATGAAGGGATAGAAATTCCCCAGAACCCATGTCTGCCATGGGGAAACGGAGCCAGATGCTTGCCTTTCCTGTTCCTGACTCTGGCAGGCTGCTCTGGGGACCTGGGAACAGTTATGTTTCTCTGTTTTGAGGCTTTTGCCTGGGCACAGTGACCTTGCTCCTGGTGACATTGAAGATTCTTGTTCTTTTCCCAGCTGATGTCTCTCTCATGCTATCTTTGCTATGACCTGGACGCTGAGCTAGGCTGTCCAGTTCTCCTTGGCTACTCACCCTCAAGCCAGGAGAGATGAGCCTATTGCCTTCTCACACAC